AATAGTCAAGCCAAGACCTCTGAGTGAGGATGGGGCATATGTTGAAAGTGAGAAGCTCGCCATAGAGGAGCTTTACAGGAGTGTATGTGGAAGAATTTCCTACAAATGTTCTAAGATAAAAAACCCCGCATTCATCTTGTTTGATGCTGATGAGCCCAACATACTCCAGGAGGCTGTGAATTCCTTGTTGTAAGTAAAGGGTGTCTTTCTAAAAGATTAGTTTAAATGCATGGATCATGAAGGATGATAGAACTATATGGAGGTGTAAATCCCAATTAGCGGTGAAAGAGTTCAATCAAACTAAAGGAGTGGACTATGATGAGATAATCCTTCTTATGTGAGAACGACCTCTATTCTCCCAATCCTAGTGGTTGTTTCATGTCTAGAATTAGAGCTCTTCCAAATAGATGTCAAGATTGCTTTTCCAAATGTTAAATTGATGGAGGAGATAATTATAGAGCTACTAAAAGATTTTGTTATCCAGGGCCTTAACTGCAGAGTATGCAATATATAGGGCCATAATGCCCTATAGATTCGAAATGATCCAAGACAACCACGACCTTTATGTCAAGAAGTACAAAAAAAACATCCAAATATTGCCTTTGTATCTCTACCATATATTATGTTAGCAGGGAACGACCTAGAGCAACATGTTATCACCAAGGAGTAGATGGCTCTTAAATTTGAGATAAAAGATATGAGTAATGCGAGCTACTTCCTTGGTGTTAGGGTACCACCCCATTTAAATGAGAATCATAATGTCCTATGGATTCGAAATGATTCAAGACAACCAATACCTATATGTAAAGAAGTACGAAAAAGCATCCATTTATTGCCTTTGTATGTCTACCATATATTTTGTTTGCAGTTAAAGCACATTGATGGAAGTGCAGCATACCACAGGGGTTTAGAGACAACATCACAATAAGAAGCCCCTTCCATGCTAAGCTGGGAAGGGGTTGCTTCCATGTTTTGTTGACCTCGTCCACAATCAAACACACCCTAAGAATACTTAGCATAGACGCTGCTATGCTTGGTTTGTAGAGCGATGATTAGGGTGATGTGTGCCACAACATGCTTTGGTCTCTTCCAGAATCAAACACACCCTAAGAGTACTGAGCATAGACTCTTGCTCCTCAACTCCCATCTCTTGCCACTCTTTGTAAAAAGAGAGGTGGTCATGGTGGAAAGTGCCACAACATTAGAAAAGAGCGAGAGAAAGGCTACTTAACCATACTTCTCTCTATCGATTATAAAAAAAAAAAGAAATCATGGGCACCAAATTATGATATTCGATTTTCAGTTACTTCTGCACTGTTCTTGGGATCAATTTTGCAACATTATCGATGACGTATAACCATACAAAAGAATCTTACCGCCTTCAAAAAAAAAGTAGAAAGACTTCTTTATTTCTGAAACCAAATGAAAAAATTTGTTCCATCATCATGAATCGGTAAAAATAAAAGAATTTATGTACCCTAACCTTGAATAGTTTTGGATTTCTATTTCTTTTAAAAAATTTATCAATATTTTCAATCTCAATCCCACATAATATAGGATTTTTTTATGTAGGTGATTTTGGATATCACCAAATCCAGCAATCTCTACGTTGATATCAAAATCACCTGCTCAAACTTCTCCACCTTGAACTTTTAATTCGAAACCTTTACTGCCACACCGACAACCCCAAAACCAAGCTCTGATAATACTTATTGTACACGAAACTTCTAAACCCGATGGGTTGATTTTTGATAAATAAAATACAAGAAAACTAAAGCAAGAAAGAAATAACATAAAAAAAAAAAAAATCAGATTTACGTGGTTCGTCACAAATGTGACTACATTCATTGGCAAAAACGATCGATGTTTTCTATTAAAAATAAATAAAATAAAATATAAGGCACTTACTTGAAAGAACAAGAGACATTAGAATGATAAAAAAAATTATTTGGCAAAAGACAAAGAATTCATAAAGATATACAATGGATTTTAGCATGGTGAACAGGTGATTTTAATATCAATGTGCAGATTGTTCGATTTGGTGCTATTCAACATTACCCACGTAAGAAAATCCCATATTATGTGGGATTGAGATTGACATTGATAAGTTTTCTGACAGAAATAGAAATCCAAAAAGTTCAAGACTCTTAGATATATCTCTTGGTTTTTTAGACATATGTAAACATCTATAAGAAGTTTTTTATTTAGTGTAGATTTCTAATTTTACATAAATGATGAAAGAGGAAAGAATATTTGTGCCCTATTTGAGTTGCCATATAAGAAATATGGCTTCTTTTAGAGAGAGAGACATGGCCTCTTATACATGAAGGACAAGGACAAGGCTTTTTTTGAGTTTCCTATAGAAAGAAACAATGCCATGGTACCTTTTACAGACTCATGTAGATTGAGACACTAGTCTCTTGTAAAGAAGCAATTTCCAAAGAAATTTTGGGTAGTTCCCCTTTTAATTAAAAAGGATGTTAGTTTCTCATTGCTCTCGCATCTCTATTAGCATTGTCAGTAATGATTGTCAAAAGTATAGAAAAGGGAGAATAACATGTGATGTCGGTCGTTAAAGTGGTTTAAAAAGATTTTCTCGACTGGATTTTATCGAGTGTTAGAAAGTTAACTTTATGTCCCAAAATCTTTGATATAACTTTTATTAGTATAATAGATTTCGATTTGTCGTGTCCGTAGATGTAGCCCTTTTAAAGTAAACCACGTAAATCTTTATGTTTTTGTGGTATGTGTTTCATGCTAAAATCAATCCATCAGGTTTAGAGCTTCCACAAATATGTTCTCATTCAACCACTGGCATGATTGTTAACAAATCATTCTCAATCAAGTTAAGCCGTGAAAATCAATCCATTCATCAGTATGGTCTGTCCCAGGTACGGTTCTAAAAGGGAATTGGTTCGAATCCCATTCTTGACAAAAACATTTCATTTAGCAAAAAAAAAACAAACCTTAGAAAAATACTTCAAGATTCAATTATAATTGAAACCAATTCATGTCCATTTACTACCTCAAGTAAAACATGATGTAAGAGTATTAATACGATCTCAAATTTTTGCGAAATAATCCTATAGTTAGCAAGTCGAGAAATAATAATATACCAGCAAAACAAAACATCCGCTAATAAATCGGTTTTACTCTAAAGAGTTGGATGCAAAAAATTGGATTAAAACTATGGATCACCAAATAATATGGTAAGTTAAAGAATCATGAATATTTCGGATTTGGCTCTAAAAAACAGCCTGAAAAAATAGGATATATAAAGAGATAACACAATATAGGATTATGATTTGCATTGAATAAGTTCATTAAAGGCACAAAACGATAAATTTTTCGGGAATATAATGCTTGGATATTTTTAAAAAAAATTTGAAAAAGAACAAAATACAGATTTATACCATTTCCATTACAAAAACAAGGCATGCGGCCAGCCCACATAATGTAGAAATGCAGGCTTGGCAATAAATATATTTTTAAATATAATTTGATCCTAATTTTTAGAGAATAATATAATCTTTAACATGGAGTTCATGAATATATAAAAAATAAAAAATTTGAAAACTAGAAATAATAATTATATTAAAAAAACGTTTGGACCGTTAGTTACAATCGTATTTAGATGGACCACCTATTTGCATCCATCTTTAAGATGGATGCCTTATACCTCTAGACCACATAATGTAGAAATGTGATTCAACTGGTATGAAACAATTGTTCTTTTTTTAAAGTCTTTAGAAAACTCGAAGTTCTTAACGGATTTCAAAAACTTAACTTTTTTTTTTTGAAAAAACTGTGTTTTAAACCGAGACTTAGCAACTATGATTCAACTAACAACTAAACTAAAACAACAAAAAAAAGGAAAAAAATTTGAATTGCATTATGAATGTGCCCAAAAATTAAATGTCCCAATATTGTAGAGAGACCATCTAGTTCTTGGAGGTTGATATTCAAATATTGGAGATATCAAAATCCATTTTTTGTTTTGGAAAATAATCATACGGTGATTGTTAGGTCAATCACAAAATCTCAAAAAAAAAAAAAAAAACTCCCAAGTGTACAGTATGCTCCCACAAGAGCATAGCATACACACTCTAAAGTGAAAAACAATATCTTAATTGATAAAATTTAGGGAAAATAACGAGCAAAACCCCTAAAATTCACAGTTTTAAAATTTGCCTAAACTTTTTCCATTTTATGTTCCTACCCGCTTTTTCTCAAACTTTTAAAGGTGCCAAATTGCCCATATTTCGGATCTTCAACATAAGAATCTATACTTTTTTGAAATTTATAATTATTATTATTATTATTATTACAATCTTTGAGTTTTGAATATTTCAAAATTTTTCAAGCCAATAGTTTATTTTTTTACAATTTTCAGATTTTGAAAGTCCAAACTTTGCAAAAAGAATAAATTTTTGGGTTAAAAAACTTCTTGGATATTCAAAACCGAAACTTGTAAAAATAGATGAATAAAATTTTTGGGCTACATAAATTTTCTAATATACAAAATCCAAAAATTATAAAAACAACTAAATTTCATAAATGTATACTTTCAAATCTTAAAGATCTGAAATAAGGGAATTTGGCCTTTTTGAAAAATGTGAGAAAAATAGGTACAAATGAAAAACAGAAAAAAAAAAAAAAAAAAGAAGGGTAAATTGTGAATAATATGAATATAGGGGATATGCGCATAATTATCTCTAAAATTTACAATAAATTATACATTGAAAAGTTCGTATAAAATTATATTTATAATTGTGATAAGAAAGATCTAAGTTACTGAGATTAAACAAATAAAGAAAAATTTTTGCTTTTCATTCATCAAGTTTTACAAAATTTCTTTTTTTTCAATTGTTTCAGAAATGCTCACAGAGAAACAGCATAATGTAGTTTTCTCCACAAAACTTACCTCACCATAAAATACCCAAGAACAATATTTTAGAAAGACTAGATTGAAGAAATAAAAAAGAAGCAACACTTATCCAGAAAAGGGACCTAACCAGCTTGAAGAAAAAAATATGGTAAAAACTGTACAGCCACTAAGATAAGAGAATGATGATTAACATACTGTATCAGATTTAACTTACCAGCAGAATACTTTTCAATAATTTGGCCACCAGACTAGAGAGCAAGTAATCACAAAGTCTGAATGATTACATTTAGGTGTGTTGAACGAATCTCCAACATCAATCCTCTTGAAGTTGGAGATCTAAATCATGGCCATGCCTGCAAATTTGGGCCTCTATAATGAAGCATGATCTCCACAGCCGTAAAGAATCGAAAAATAGATATTTGCACAGGAGACCTGCACCATGATGCGCAAGTAAACCTGATCATTCCCGTAAAAATTCAAAAATAAGGAATCAAGCCATGTAAGGACATAGCTCTCAGTTGGAAATGGTATGAACCAGCACTCTAAAAGTGGGACTCAGGCTCTGACTCATCCTTGGTCCAAGCGCTAGTCCCACTGGACTCAGGCTCTCACTCGCCCTAGGTCCAAGCGCTTGTCCCTAGAATCGAAAAATGGGTATTTGCATAGGAGACCTGCACCATGATGCACAAACCAACCTGATCATTCCCTTAAAAATTCAAAGATAAGGAATCAAGCCATGTAAGGGCATAGCTCTAAGTTGAAAATGGTATGAACCATTATTCTAAAAATGGGACTCAGGCTCTGACTCACCCATGTCCAAGGGCTTGACCCACTGGTCCGACTTGGGCTGGTCCAAATCAGACCAGGAATGTCAAACAAGAAAAAAAATACTGCAAGACAGGGAGACTCAATTTCAGGGTCTTGCATCCCGGAGTTGCCATCATCCCTATCCAGTCCGATTTGGGAGAGTCCCAAGTAGAACAGCTAATTTTGAAACACTGGTTCAAACCAACTGCAAGAACACATAGAGTAGTATGTTTTCAGTTAAAACAATGAGTGAAGAATATTTTCCAGCTGGGATATGGAACCATTTGAATGAAATAGCCAAACTCCCATATTACATGGTATCACAATAAAATTATTATAGAACTTCTTATAAGCAAATATCATGCAGCTACTTACAGTGATGGAACTATATATGAAATTGCCTACCAAATATGAAGATGCAGCCATGGACCAAAACTTTATGATGGAACTATATATGAAATTGCCTACCACATAAGAGGGCAGGCCAATGATGTCTAATCCTTTTCTGCAATCTTGCTTTGAGAAAAAAATGAAGATAAAGACAGCATTACAAAATTAACCCGGCAAACGGAAGTACACTGAATTTTCAGATATAAAGTCCAGTAAATCACTCCCCTCCTTTATGCCCTTGTAATTTTGGGCAAGCCACTACAATAAATTTGGAAACAACAAATCCAAGCCATATGAGAGGGAAGCCCGATCTTATTTCCAGAAGACCCTAAGAAACCCAGAGAAGACAACATATAGAACATTCAAGAACAAACTGAACATGAGTAATTTTTAGGACAGAAACTCTTAATCAGGTTCCTATGTATTTGTTATTAAGATAAGGCTGTGTGATAAGTCCAATAAAGCCAGAACACAAAGTGAGAACAAACCGAACTTGATTTGGAAAGCAAGGCCAGAGAATCATTTGAACCATGATATCTTTGTTATTTTGGTAAGTATATCTCAATTTGAAAAGGGCATAGATAAGTGCGTCAGCGTCCTACAGAAATACACACATCAAAAATGCCATCCCCAAAACTCGCATTTTAAACAAGAGTCACAAAACATATCAGTACCATTTAAAGGCGGAGGAAGAAAGAATTTTAAGTAACAATACGTACTTTGGTAGTGACATATAAGAAAAAGGATAAAATAAAGTGTCTTAAAGTTATGAAAGTATTGGACAATCACGTCGTACCATTAAGATGTTCACATGTAACAAGAAAGATGGACACCTGTGCCCAAGTTACATAGGTCATCAGATGAAACTGGTCAGAGAATATCTCAAATGACTGGTTCTTGCCAAATTAGGAAAGAAAGATGAACACCTGTGTCCAAGTTAAATAGGTCAATCAGATGAAACTGGTCAGAGAATGTCTCAAATGACTGGTTCTTGCCAAATTAGGCTGCTCCTTTTCCTTTTTAAGACAAATGCAGCACTGCACGAGCCACATTCGAATTAACCCAATTTGTCAAATTTACAGTCCAAACATTTAAGACAGAGGGTTTGGACTGGGCACTTACCCATTTCCCCAGATCTAAACCATTCATTCAAATTGGATTTTATGATACAAAATCAGAGACATACATAAATTACACAGATATTATGGAAAGGAACAACCTTGCATTGAAGTGGAACTGAATATGCAAGGTGTGTCATGTCATTTCAATCTGGTATCCCAAGATCAGTGATCAGCAGCATTGGTTAGCTCATGCGGAACATATTCGACAGCCAGTAGCAGTGTGATGCCAGGTCACATATGCAATGCCCATTTTTAGCATCCAAAAATCAGGAAAAACCTTTTGATGCCACTTCATTCTAAAATGCCACATCCTATAATGAAATCGAACAATACATTAGTTCGGAGAGAGTATCAAGTTCGGAGAGAGTATCATGCATGCAAGACATTTATTCATAACGAAGTCCATGCATATGCAAGAGAGGAAAAGAGGCCAAACCAAATCCAGATTCTGAAAGATGAAGCACAAAGACTCCAAACCACCATTAGACTTCACCATCTAAGACAATCAGATTCTTACTCCAAATTATTAGAGCCCAAAAATTTAATTACAACTCATGGGAACCCAACCAAAAAAGGCATTGGGATTATTCCAACTTCCCATAAGTAGGCATCTTGTTGATATCCGTCACATCAATTTTCAGTTTCACCATCTCTCTTTGAACCCAACATCCCATCAGTGCTTCAAATGAATCAGCTCCTCCAAAACCATCTTCATCGAAGGCCTAATTGCAAGAGATTCAGCAGTACAAGCTGCCGCAATCTGAAGCATCACAACCAGTTCATCTTGAGGCCCAGCATCCCATAATTTCGAGCAAAAGACCTCTGATGTCCTCCCCTCCTTTAAAAGTAACTTCCCCCAAGCCACAATATTAAACCCATTTCCATAATCAGAAAATGAAGGGTCTAATGACCTTTTCCCTGAAAGCATTTCAAGCATAACTACTCCAAAACTATAAACATCTGCCTTGTCTGAGACCCTACAAGTTGTAGCATACTCGGGTGCTACATACCCAAAAGTCCCGGCTACGTCAGTTGTAGCATGAGTCTCAGAAACTTCTAAAAGCCTTGCAAGGCCAAAATCTGATAAATAAGCATTCAAATCATTGTCGAGCAATATGTTACTTGGCTTAATGTCTCGATGCACTATTCGTGGCTCACATGAATAATGGAGATAGACAAGAGCTTGGGCTATGTCCATGGCTATCTTATGAATCACAGAGAAATTCAAGTTTTTACAATACCTATCATGGATGAATCTCTCTAGGTTCCCTCCAGGTAGATAATTATAAATGAGAAAGGTTTCAGCCTCACTCATGTAATAGCCAATTAGGGTCACTAGATTGGCATGGCGAATTCGACCCAAGGTTCTTATCTCAGCTCCAAACTGTTGCAGACCTTGAAATCTACACAAGGACAGCCTCTTCACTGCAACTAAGAAACCAGGAACCAGCTCAGCTTTATAGGTAGCACCGAAGCCTCCAGTTCCTATCAAGTTACGAATACTGAAATTCCCAGTTGCCCTTACTACATTTTCATATGTTAGTCCAGGAGGAGTGTCTGTAAATGTAACAAGGAGTTTCTTTCGCAGGCTTGGGAGCCGAACAAGATGCCTCTTTGAACAAGCCAGATATAGAACCACCAGTAAAAGAGCAAGCACTATAGCAGAGGCTAAAGCCACTAATGCTATCTCAAATGACTTGAGCTTGCTTCTTCGGCTCACCCAATTTGGTGGAGGAAGCAGGTAGGGAGGCTGGGCAAGGGTGGAAGGCTTATGAGCAGTGCAAGGCTGAAGATATACGTTGTTTTTGAAAGAAGTACAGTCAAGAGAATACTTGAGAACAGGTATATAGCCGGAGAGGTTATTGTACGAAAGGTTCATATTCGTGAGGAATTGAAGCTCTGAGAAAGAAGATGGGATCTCTCCTGAAAGTGCATTGTGGTCAAGAAGAAGAACCTGAAGTTGGGTTGCTTGAGCTAGGTTTGATGGAATGGAACCAGTAAGATTGTTCGATGAGAGATCGAGAACCTGAAGAGAACTTAATCGACTTAATTGAACTGGGATTCCTCCAGTGAATGTGTTCTCTCCTAGAAGAACCTGTTTCATATTTTTCAAAGTTCCCAACTGATCAGGAAGTGTGCCATTCAACCGGTTTCCTCTCAGGTCAATCTGTGAAATCAGGAATGCATTACCAATCTCCTTTGGTATTGGGCCATCTAACTGATTATACGCTGCTTCGAAACTATTCAATTCAGAGCAGTTCAGGAAAATAACAGAAGAAATCTTACCTGATAACTGATTTGTGCTCAAGTTAACAGCGAAGCCTTGTAAATACTTGCAGAGTGCAAATAGAGAACTGGGAAGCGAACCGTTCAACTTGTTATCATTCAATAACAAGCCATAAGAAGGTTTCGGAGCTAATAAGCTATCTCCAATATGAATTAAAGGCAGAACACCAACAAAAGCATTTGAACTAAAATCATGCAGTATAACATTTTCTTCAGCTATCGCACCATGAAATGGATTACTCTTTGCAACACTGGTGTGAATAAGATTCAAATACCAGTACTCAACCTTCTCATAGGAATCCAAGTCATTAAATCCAACAATTGAAAAGGAACTATTACCGCAACTCGATTTACCAAAATTAGGAATTCTCCCCGACAATGAATTGCCACTGACATTGAAATAAATCATGCATGGAACTGATAATGTCACAGGTAAATGGCCAGAAAACGCATTCGAATTCAAATCCAAGTAAGCAAGATGCCTACATTTCCCTAATCCTTCCGGTATAATATCTTTAAACGAATTGAACCCAATGTTCAAAACTTCGAGACTACAAGTTTCAGACCAACTTTTAGGTAACCTCCCCCCAATATTTGCCATAGGCGCCCAAAGAACCTTAAGTCTTGGAATCAAGAAAATTTCGTATGGAATTCCCCATTCAAATGCATTGAATTCACCTTTAAGCAAGGAATCATTTCCATTACCAACCCAATTGGTAAGAACCAAAACTGATAGTTCTTTACATTGTGAAAGCTCTCTGGGTATCCTCCCAGTGAGACAATTTCCTGAAACATCCAAAACCCTAAGATGAGAAATCCTACCAATCTCTGCAGGAATGTGGCCTTCAAACACATTTTGCGGCAGCAAAAGTGACTGTAAACTTGTGCAATTTCCAATCTCTTTAGGGATTCTTCCAGCCAAAAAATTACCAGAAAGATGAAGGTGAGTCAATGACCTGCATTCACTTGAAGGTTCCATACTAATCCCTCCAGAAAGAGAATTAAAGGACAGATCAATCACCTTGAAATTTGAGCTTCCTACGAGCTTTGGAGGCAAAGTCCCATTCAAAAGGTTGGCTCTTAAGTCAAGGATTTGCAGGCTTTTACATGCATAAAGGGAGGCTGGTATCTTTCCTGAAAATGAATTGAAAGAGAGATTAAGCACACTGAGAGAAGCCATAAAACTTATCTGGAGCGGAATCTCGCCGGAGAAGTTGTTGTGGCTAAGATCAAGGACTTCCAATGAACTAAGAAAGCCAATCTCTCCCGGAATCTCACTGGAAAATGAGTTTTCTGACAAGGAAAGGACCCTGAGATCGGTAAGGCTTCCTAGAGAATGGGGCAAGATTCCTGCCAGTTTTCCTGAATCTCCGGAAACTTCACTCGGTTTTCCGGCGAGGTTCAGACCCGTGACTTTGCCGGAAAACTCGTCACATGTGATTCCAGTAAAATTGCAGGGCGAATTCATGAAAGGTACCCAATTAGAGAGTAGATGAAGAGGGTCACTGGTTATGGAGCTTTTAAAGGAAAGGAGGGCAGATATTTCTATTTCCACGGAAATGGAGAAGGCTTTGGCGAAGAAGAAAGTCCCTAAGAAGAGTTGCAGAGTCGCCATTGCCATTGTCACAGGGAAACGTTGCAGGGTCGAGACGCTTGCCAGAAAACTGTAGTGCTCTCTGTATATCCTTTCTTCTTTGATCCTCTCTTTCTCTCTCTAGCTACGGTGAAGCCACGTCTCCCTCTTCTCTCTTCTCTCTCCTCTCTTCTCCCTCTCCTTTCTTCTGTAACCTTCTTTCTAGCTTCTCGGCACTCCTCTCTCTCTCTGATTTTGTCAAGATTCCATTACACGCCCCTCCCCCTCTGTCTACTCTCTCTAGATCACTCTGTGTACTCTGCAACTTGTATGTCTTCGCGCTCTCTCTCTGTAACTTCAAAGTTGCAACCGTACTGCATACAACGGCGGTTCTCTCTCTAAAAAATCATTTTACTCTCGCTTTCGATCTCTCATTTGCGGCCGTACAGTTTTTTACCAAACCGTGAAATTCAATTTCAAGCGACAGAGGCCCGCGAGATACGCAGCTCCATGTCCGTGTAACAAGGACGAGAATCTATTCTCCCCTCAAATACCCCTAATTTTTCCTTTAAATACATAAAAAACCCACCCACCCCACGGAAGCTTTTGTTTATTACCGTAAAAGCCAGTATGCACAGTGATGGGACGGTGTGGAACCTATTGGGAACATGGCTAAGCCAGGTCGTTGGTACCATCCTATCGCCATCACCGTCCAACCATTAATTAGACGGTGATAAAGATTTATGACCATAGCCCTTTATGGTCATAGGATTACGGATCATACCGTATATTTTCATGTGGCTCTTTTCTACTCTCCTCTCGGCTTGTGGGTACAAAGGGGAGCTTGATTTCTGAAATATCATCGGCATTTTGACAAGGTAAGATTTCACAAATTTTGATACCAAACATAATGGGCAAAAAAAGACACTTTCTTTTAACCTGTTCGAATCCGAATAAATAAGGTGGATTGTATTAAATAGGCTGCCAACATGAAAAAAGATTTAAATTTTTTGTGATGGTATATGTGAATAAATAAGGTGGATTGTATTAAATAGGCTGCCAACATGAAAAAAGATTTAAATTTTTTTGTGATGGTATATATGAATAAATAAGGTGGATGGTATTAAATAGGCTGCCAACATGAAAAAAGAATTAAAAAACAACTAAGGAGAGGGCAATAATATAGAGAGAGAAATAGAGATAGGTATTAAATAGAGAATAACAACTAGGGAGAGGGCAATAACATAGAGAGAGAAATATGGAGATAGGTAAATCAGAGTGAGGCAAAAAATAGAGAGAGGTAAATAAGGGAGAGGGATAAAAGAGGAGGAAAGAGGGGTCTATTTTTGAAAAGCATGTTTGTTTGTATTTGGAGTTTTGGACAGAGAGCTATCAATGCCAATGGAAAGGACCCTTTCTTAGGCATAACCAGTCAGCAACGGAGGATATAGAGCCACGTGTCAAAACTATCGCTTATACAAAATCAGAGCCGTTCATTTCAATTTCAAACTTTTCGACACGTATGTGGCGCCAAGTGCTAAATGACAATATAAATTAATGAAAAATGACAAATTGTTAAGCTATTAATAGTCAAAAGGGCAACAAGCAATGCACTACACTCTTGATAAGTATCAACAATTAAAATGGGCAAAACCGTTACAACTTACAAGTAATGCACCTTTATGAGAAATAAATGCATAGAGAAACAGCTAATACAAAATGAACGTAGAGAGAGAGAGAGAGGGAGTGAGGAGAGATAGAGATAGACAGAGAGAGTGGAACGAGATTGAGAGATATTGGATACGAGGAAGAATTCATGGCTCTTCGATATAATATTTTAAGAGTGTTTAGTTTAGGATAAATCATGCACTTAACTGATCATTTTGTAACATGTTATAGAGAGAGAGAGAGTTCAGTGTGGGGTGGTAGAGAGAGAGAGAGAGTTCAGTGTGGAGTGGTAGAGAGAGAGTGAAATGCGAACAGATGAATGTATTTTGGTATCTTAAATTTGAAAAATATTTCTACAACCCATAAATTTAAAATTTATTTTTATAAGGCCCACCTTAGAAATCTATCGATAATAGATATTTTGAGTTGAAAAGCTCCCATCATGTGGGCCTCAAGATCCATCGATAAGAAAAAATGATTTTAAGTCTTAAAAATGATGCATCTTATGAAAACAATGTACACGGTCCATTTTCAATGTTGTCAACTCGATCTGCCTTGTTTTAAATTTTGGCGATGGAAATGTATTTTTAGGTCATCATAAAGATTTTCGAGAGCAAAACTCTATCCATTAAAAAAAAATCAGCCGGTCTAACAAGCAACAGTTTTGGCCAGTTTTGATGACTAACTGGTATTTTAAAAAAAATTATATAAAATCCAAAAAATTAAGGGATTTTGTTTTAATATATTTTTTTTAATGTTTTTCATCATTATGGAAAATATTGTAAATTTTTTTGGTCATTGATACTTATTTTTATGTTTTTTCATTTTATTTAAAAAATTTAAAAATACCTCTAAGCACAAATCGATCCTTTAAAATCTATTTTTTTTATTAATTTTCAATTTCATTTGGTGTGTTTTGTTTAATCGTTCTTTAAATATATTTTTCGTATTCTATTAGATTTTTTTGTACTTTTTATTTTTTTAACATTTTTTTACTATCTGGGACTTGTTCAGTTAAAACGGTTGAACCGGCCAGTTTCCAATTAGGCCGATTGAACCGCTTCTATGTCCGGTTAACCATTACCGTACGATTATTCCTACATTGACTCTCATCTTTCGGTAGAGTTTAAAGGTGCGCCTTACTTTTATTCTTTAAGACCAGCACCATCAACCACACTCAAATTGCTTTATTTGTCCAAAATTTAGAGAGAAAGAGAGAGATTAATTAGCTTATTTGTCTTGCTTACCCTTCATTAACAACACCAACACAAATCATTTGCATTTAAAACTAAAAACAAATGTAAACACTAAGAAATGCATGCAACTCTAATGCAATAATAGCACATTTTCAAAAATATTAATAATGCTTCATTTACTTCTATTTGGGAAAACTAATAATTTCCTCATTTACAAGAGCATGGGACACCCAAAAAGCACGTAAATCCATGCTACAATAAAATATGAGACATTATTTCCAAAGCCAAACGTGCCTTCATTAATCCAAACCACCCATTCAAGATGATATAGATCTCATCCATCCAAACACATGATTAACGGTTATGATCGTGCGGAAATCTGGATTGCTCGAGCACGGGGGCCAAAGTCCCTCCAAGAAACAAAGCCATTACCAAGCTGAATGTCTCTACTAAGTGCTTAGAGTTCTCAAATTACAAGAGAGAGATTCCTTTTTAAGTGAGAGAAAGTGGTTTGTTTAGTTCTCCTAGATAAGCACCCACATTACTTTAGTGAGAGAATGTGTTGTTTGGTTCCCTCGTTATCTAGTTGTTGGTGAGAGTGAATTCATGAATTTTTTTCTCTCAACATGGACTTCCTCATTACCATTTATTTATTAATATATTGCATGGAATCTCTCTCTAATGGTATCTCTATATATTGTAGTCTTCTAAATTTTGATTGGTTGTTGTGTTCAAGGGAATATATAAAGGCGCTGAAGGTTCACATTATGGGCCAGTTTTGAAAGGTAGATAGTATCGCAAGTTCTTTTTTGTTGATAAAATAAGTTATTTAAAAAAGTTTTGAGTGTATATGATTGATAACTTACAGTAATGTTAAGAAGTATTAGATTATAAAGTCATGTTTATTTAAATATTACGTTTATATTGGATATAAAATAATATATAAAATATATTATATTATAAATATCTATTACATATATAAACTATATTATATAACAAAATATATTATATTTTATATTATGTAATATATATATATATATATACACACCATAATACAATATATAATATAGTGTATTTTATATTTACTTTATTATATAATATTTTACATTTATTTTATTATATAGTATATGATAAAATGTATTCTATTATATATAATATATATTGATAATTTAAATAAATATATTATATATAATGTATTTTATATTTATTTTATTAATATTTATTTCTATTATAATATATAATATAGTATAATACACTACAAATACAAATGTAAATTAACAATGTAAATATAAATATAAGGAGGGAGGCATAATAGGGTTTTGGGAACCAAGTTCCTATTTTAAATTCCATCATTTTAGATAACTTTTTTTCTTAAGCACAAGGGAATAAGAAAATTCTAGAGGGAACTTATTTACTGTATAAGTTATGTGCATCAAACAAGTTCCTTCTTCATCTTCCTAACTTCTTGTTATCAAACACGCCCTATATGCCAAAGACATTTACAAACACTAGATTTAAAATTTGATAGACAAGAGTGATTGTGACATATATATTCCAATACTCACAAAATATCCGATTTAAAATTTGAAAGTTCATACATCTTGATGGCGAGATGATCAGTTTGAGGATTTTCCAACATCAAACAACCTATTGTGATGGATTTTTTAGGTCCACTTAATTCTAGATTTGAAGGTTGCAACCTTGTATACACTTTTTCTGGACCACTCTACGGTAGTACTCTTACCATGATTTGGGACGGTCCAATGATTCAAGAATAGGATAAACCCCTTATGTTTTTTTATTTTATAAACCCATTCCAATGGTTGTAACATCGACCTGGCCCAAAATGTTAAAAAGCGACCTAATTTTTTTAGATATAAGAACCCACGTTAGTTCTTTGTTTGGTGTCGAACTGGAATATTAAAATAATCGTAAAGGCCCTAATTCAAACCTTGTCTTTCATCCCAAAATCCACTTTCACCAAAATGCTCATTTTAGGGATGAAATATGAGGTTCAAATTAGGGATGAGGTTCAAATTATTGGGCTTTTAAGCCCTAATTCAACCTTACCGCTCGACACGAGAGAGAGAGAAGATCCGAAGGGATCCAACACCTCAAATATTAGACAACTTTTAACCAAAAAAAAAAAAAAATGAAAGCAGTACGTCACGTTTTTTAAGCAGAAAAGAAGGACCGCCGTCTAAGTTTTGAAAAAATTGAACCATTATGTAATAACATAATTTTATAAAAATGTTGTGACATGAGATAAAGTTTTAATGCGGTCGTCAAATGAAAGGAACACGTCCCATCGTTGATAAACACATGTCCTCTAGGTCGAGCCTTAGCGGTGTGGATCCCACCTTATCGTTTTAGGAGTTGTCTAGATACCCGGAAATATATTGTCTGTAAAATATATTATTTACGGAATACATTATTTAAAAATGGATTGTTACTGTTTGGATAGTATTTAGATGTAACTTGAAAAATACATTGCTACTGTTTGGCTATGGTTTGAAAAAATATGGGAAATGCATTATCAACACTTGCTTATAAACTACCGTATCTTTCTTTTTTTTTTGTCACAAAATTCTACT